TGTCGAAATCGTGGAGGACCTCACCGATCCGACTCACGGGACTGGCAAGCCAGACCTAACAAATTCGGCCCGGTGAAGAAAGAGTAACTCGCGTGGATCTGCCACATCGAGCAATGGAAGTTTGCAGAAGCAGCTCGAGCAAGAACTGCAGCCAAAAGGGCAGAGGAGGCGATTATCGCCTCAAACAAGGACGTCTCCATGGCGGAGGTATCGGGATTCGTAGTTCTGGAGTCCGAAGAAGTCTGAGGAGATGGCGACCTCAATATCGCCTTACAGGTGATTACTAACCAATAGCAGGATACCGGCTGGAACAATGTTACCTGCTGTTCCATCTCTTGCTCTCAGCAGAGATCGAAAAATTTGTATTCTGGAAGGTGTGATGGGCGAAGGAATATGTGATTTTACTTTTTGATTTTGATTGAGTTTAACGCCGTGCCTATCCACAGCTCGTGACTCATGTCACAGATACCCACTGCAAACACATTTTCAACGACATATTTGACTGCCTAAACAACACAGCCCTTGAAATAACGCTCTCATATACTATCTACGATCTCACACTGCCACACACACTTCACTCACTCATGCCGCCCCAGTCCTCTGCAGAGGCTGGCTCTTGGCCCTGCCTCCCACCAGCTAATTCGACGCGTCCTGACGTCGAAATGGTACTCACAGGGCCACCCAGCCAACATGAAAACACACAAATAAACGCAGAGCCGATCTGCGAGGCGAGCTGTTGAAAAGAATGGAGAGGCCCTACAGGCCATGATAGCAGACATTCTGCATGGAAACCCCAGTAAGCCCCGACCCAGAAGGCTAACAAAGGCTGCCAGTGGCAGCAAAACGACACCCCCTGCCGTGCTGGCTTCTAGGCCGGGAGGAAAGAATAGCGCAAGCACTTCACGACCATTGCAGATCCTCGCGAGAGAAAGCAGCAGCCAAGCAAAAGGCAAAGAGCCAGCTTTAACAATGCCTACTAGACCAATTGAGGGCGATGAGCCACAAAGCTCCAACAAAACTGAGAGATCCTGGACTCAGGTGGTAAGGAAAAAGCCAAAGGCTGTACAGCCAGTGGGCCTCAGCCCAAAGCAACGGGGTCTACATAAACGCCGAAGCCTAATGCCCCAGCTTCCAAACCAGCCCGCCCAGATGAGCGCGTGTTCCTGCGGATCAAGCCCGACTATCCGTGGAGACTTATGTCTCACCACTTCATAAAAATAAGTCTTGCGAGCTAGCTGCGCCTAGCTAACTCTGCAATCAAGTAATTCACTGTTGTAAATCCGGGGTTTGCGATACAAGCAGAGGGGTATGGAGCAAGAAGCGGGTTCCTCTCGGGTGCCGCTCTCTTAGATAGCGCGGAAATGAAATTGGAAGCTGCCTCCAATTGGATCTCGGTGCTTGCACCAAATATTCCTGATAGGCCTTACACCCTCGAAGGTCCAACCCCACTTACAACAGAAATGGTGATTGAGGAAGCGACCCTTAAAATCGGCGTCAGACCAACCTCAGCTCGTGCTTTTGCGACAAGCACGACGAGGCCATCAACTGACTGGGTGTTGCACTTTGCAACAGGAAAGCCAAACCCGGGTGAAAGACTCGTCGAAGAGGCGGAAGCCCGCACGAGGTGCGTTGTCCCGCGTAAAAAGGGCATGCCTGTTTTGATACGGTGCCCCAGGTAGACATGTCCCATGAGGTCGGACCTGAATTTGAAGCGCACCGGTCGTACCGAGAATCTTAACAGAGACACACCTAGCATCGACCGCCCGGGGCCGCACACTGTAACTATACTTACAGGTACATTCGGTACCTGTAAGGCGACAAGATCCGAAGATACCTCGAGTTTGACGTTTTGACTTGCCAGCTTCGAAGAGCCATCTAAAGTCTCTTGTCGTGTTTTTTCGTTCTTTGCTAGCATAGCAAAGCCCGATCTCACTCGGTGGAGTGAGGTTATTTCTTGGTTAAAGTAGCCGAATGTATACTCCAACTTGGATCTCACGCTGCTTGTGGGAAGTTTTCGCCACGGGTGGTCCTTTTCAAAGCGAAGGAACAGTCGCTTGTCGACTTTCGACTTGGGGGTTTCTTTTTTTTGGGCTTTGGCCGCAGGTCGCGGCACAGCCTTGGCAGTAGGGTCTGCTTTTTGTCGCAGTTCGTGTCTGGCCACCGTGGCCCAGGTGCTTTTGATGGGCAGAGCTGGGACGGTGGGTATTGTATGGCTCCTGGCGTCGGGAGCCCTTGGGATCGGGTTCGTCGGGCGAGGAGGGAGAACGAGTGGCTTAGTGGCCGGGCCCGTGGCCATGTATTGCGCAATGGCGGCGCGTAGGTAGACTCTCATGGGGTCTACGAATTGTCTATTTGACCCGTTGGTCATAGGGAGGAGGGTAGCTTTGACGTCAGAGATGGCGGCGGAACAGAGGGCCAGATTTGCCATCATTTCGGCGGCGCGTCGTTGTTAAGCTTCGACAATAGGTCGGAGCTCGAGGGAACACTCTGTTTTCGTGGCAGTTTTGGGCTGCGACGTTGATTTTGACGCTGCTTTGGGTGCAGCGTTTTCCGACGGTTTTGAGGTGGTCAGAGGAAGTTTGGACGATTCTCCAATCCCGTGAGGGACGGAAGCTCGTTGAGGAATTTCCTCAACAATTTCGACTGACCAGATCATACCAGTATCGGGTTCAGTGACAGTAGGAGGGGCTTTTTCCTTCCCTATTATTGAGACCTTGCTCATCTTCACGCATTTCGGAGACTGGGCAAGGCCAGGTACTTGTTCGAGAGCCCTCGGGTGGACTATCGTTGTCCAACATTGCGTTGGGGAGCTTTTTTCGAACAGGTGGCATGATAAAAATGCCAGTGACTCGATCACAATGATTTGATAGAATGCGACGAGCGCGAGAGGGAGTAAGAGGGGGAAAAGGTGAAGATTCGAAAATTCGAGTATCAATAAATTGTGGTTTTGCGCAGGCACGACGTCGATATAAACAAATAGCCCAAAGTAGCTTAGCAATCCAAATTCGAGAACCTGGGAGTGAAATATTCTCCCAGAGTCAAGTTCAGTCAAATTTCGCAATATCAAAGAAGTTGGCCCACGAGGCAAAAATTCAAATTACTCCACCATCTCAATCTTTCACACCCAACGAGATCGATTCCTACCTAAACCTCATCAAGTTTACAATTACGACCTAGTACATCCTTATTCCAATGATCACACCTCTCGTCGAATTTCTCTGGCCTCAGCCGGTCACCAAATACACGCCCACGCCTATATTTATACCCGACGGAGGAAGCAAAGCGTGGAGCACAAATCTGGGAGACTTTTCTTTGGGATGGACGTGAGAGGATTAAGGACAAGTTTACAAGATGATGCAAACGAAGGATATAGCTTCGATAGGCGTGAAATTTGGAATTTGGCAGAGAGTTTCACGAATTGGACTTTTTACGCGCCAAGACTTCGCTTGCGAGAGTGTAGCTGACACTATAAAAATAATCAGACGATGGAAGGTGTTGTGATCCGCCTCCTGGTGGTGTTCTCCGGTATAGTTTGAGTAGCCTGGGCACCTACTCCACTTGGGAAGGAGACATCTCAGATCACATTTCGCGCGGAGAAAAGTAAATGAATGACGGAGGCATGTCTGGATAACTCAGGGTTATTGAGATGTTCCTCTGAGTCGGTATTCACGCATGAGGGTTGACTTGGGGTGAAGAAAAAGCCACCATAACTTCGCAGTGGTACTTGCAAATAAAATCTGAGGCATGAGTGCTCCTCCTTTACGTTGAATCATCTTTTCTGTACTTTTCTTTGATGTTGTGTCATAGCTAGATAGCTGCATACGCAATTAAAATCTGATGCAAAAAAGAAATCCAAATTCGAAGCGAGCATATCGGGCTCAATTCGTATTTGCATAGAAGAAAAGTACCAGGAGTCTACGATCCATGCTGCCCGTGTGGCTACCTATCACAAAATCCCAAGCATATGATCATGTCCTGCCCTTTGTGGTGAAGCGGTAGGGGTGAAGCGGTAGGGGTGAGATCTGGAGACAAGCCAAAGACCGGTCCTACGAAGCAATGATAGACAATCCTGGTGATATTAAAAGAATTACGCAATGGGTTCTTAGTCATGGTTGGATAGATCAATTCCGCATGACAAATGCAGTCGAAATGCTGATTAGGGAACAAGAAGGAACATGTACAAGGTTGGGGTTGATAGAAGGGACGTGATTGGTACACATCGACGGCAATACAGTGTAACTGTGCTTCCTGAAGGATAAATTGCAAAATTTAAATATACAAATCAGGAAGCTGGGGAGGTTTTTACCGAAATATTTCCTCCTATGTAAATATATAGATAGGTTTATAGCCACCTGCATGGGCCCATAGGGCGCCAAATCAGGATAATGAATACAAATCAAAATCAAAAAAAAAAAATAAGCGTATTACATCTCTCAGTTGCTGAGTCATTGTCTTGATGACTCAGCCAAAACCACGAACTACACGTTCGCAATGTTCTTAGATAGAGAAAATAGGAATAATTCATACCTCACGTCCGTACCTTTCGTTTTGCATCGAACTAACCTTACGTATACGTAAATTAAGGCTAGTTAAAAGGCAAAGAATCACATCGTTATAACGAGCCCGCACTGTAACTCGTTTTTCAGCCATTCAGGCAAGGTGGTGTAGTCAGATTTAGGCAGAGGACTCGCGTGTGAATGATAGGTCAATGATTTGTCGAGAAGTCGTTGATTTTAGTTATGCTTGAGGTTGGTTTCGAGTTCGATTCGGATGCAACTCTTAGCTATCCCATAATTGTAAAGTACAGTTGAGGTTTCTTGTGAACGTTAGTACGAATAAAATGATAAATGTTGACCGTAAATTCACGAATGTCTCGTGGCTCCGATTACGACAATCTATATGTGTGTAGAGCTTGAGACTAGGTGTAAACTTGTTTTCTATTAACGTTCTAAATCCTCCTTAAGTACATGAAATCCTCTATACTCCAGATAATGTAACGATCAATGATGCATGACAAGTAAACAATCAGAACACAGTAGGGGAGGAGTGAGGTGCTTAGCTGCCCGGATTGTGAACAAAGAATGCGAGGGGTGCATTCTTGATGGAACCTCAAACTCGTCGACTCGCTTGCCGCGAGACTTGGCGTTCCGCTCGGACTTGTAATTCAGGATCCTCTCAGTGAGTGATTACATTTGTACATGTAAGCAGAATTATGTCTGCTTGAGTGGATACAGTCCGTAGGAAATTATGATCGGCGACAGGGGCACAAGAGTTATTGTATCGTGACTCGGATAGCCTAGTAGGCACCAGAACTTGAGGTAATGTTCTGGTGTAGTGTAGAAAACGCTAGAGCCGAGGCTGTGCAGTCTGATGTTGAATAGCTCACATATGGTGAGGGGTCACAGAAGGATGTTTAGGGCCAGCCCAGAAAGCCATTGTATAAAGATAATATTAAGGCCGAAAATTGTATGCGCAATTAGTGGGTTCTTCTATTTAACTCTTTCTATCACGTGACACCTAACGGTTTGCACAGCCTGCGATAATAGTACGGATACACGGAAATGAGATGGTCCATAGGGGCCGCAGAAAAGTACGTGTGAACTATCCCGGATCTTATTAGCATTATCTGGTTTCGATCCAGAGACCTCCGGGTTATGAGCCCGGCGCGCTTCCGCTGCGCCATAATGCTTATTGTACACGGAATAGCAATAGTAATATATATAACTCAAAAATTTGTATATAATACTAAACCTGAGGCCGAGTTTTTTTCTAAATTATTCTATGTATATTTCGTTGGATGATGATGATGGTCTTTGTTTTATGTCTAGCGAGCCACACGCTTGACGCGTGGCCCTATTAAGTCCCTACTGAGACAAAGACGCCAGGGTATAATCCCTAGACTTCTACATATTTGAAAGGAAAGGAAAAAAACACAAAAAAACCAATACGAGACTTTATATACGTAGAAAGTGCATTTACATGGCTACTTCCCGCAGATTGCTAAGTTATGTGGTTATGTAATGATTGCTCGGCGCCATCCCCTACGTAGGTCAGTCCACATTCCCTGTTGACCTCCACTGCCGAAAATATAAAATTTGTTGCTCCATTGAGTTACTTGTCTTTCTTCTTTAGCTAGCTCGCTTTAAGCATCCATTGAATCTCGAGGGGTTTTATGGGCATATCTCTCTTAAGAATCGAGTTTCTTGTAGCCATTCCCCGAATTTTCGCCCCTCTTCATGTGTACCAAGAATGAACGGGATCATCCTTGAAGGTGGACCTTGCATGAGACGTGATCTTCTTTTCCCTATGTGGCAGAAGAAAAAATGTAGAGGGGCCTTTCTATGGCCACATCGGCAGTATTTTGGTGCATTCTCGTGGTTGAAGCGCTCGTGGTAGTTGGCAAAATCGCCATATCCAGATCTAGCTGCTAGGATACGGCCTAGAATGGTACGCGAGAGAGTGAGTTCTTTAGGTCTAGAGGGAGCTGTTGTTGTGATCTAACGCTGTTTAATCTACGGACTTAGTGGTGAGCAGTTATTACATCTCACGTGATGGAACACGGGAGCGAAGTAAAAGAGGGGACAGCCAACTAGCCAAATCCAAGCGATTACCGGTACATGGAGAACTGTAGCACGTTCTCTGTAGATAAACATAACAAGAAATTATTATCAAATAATTGAATTAACCTCCACACAATTGAGACCCATAGAAGTGCCAAACTATCATACAACCAACAATTGTATTGTCGCAATCGCATCTGTAATGAGCCACCACTGCATTCCAGAATACACTCTCTAACTGTGATAAGCTACACCGCCAGGTCTAGCAAACAAATTACTATATGTCTAACAATACCCGACGGAAAAGCAAAGCATGGCGCACAAATCTGGGAGATAGCTCTTTGGGATTGACGTGAGAGGATTAAGGACAAGTTTACAAGATGATGCAAACGAAGGATATAGCTTCGATAGGCGTGGAATTTGGAATTTGGCAGAGAGTTTCACGAATTGGGCTTTTTACGCGCCAAGACTTCGCTTGCGAGAGTGTAGCTGACACTATAAAAATAATCAGACGATGGAAGGTGTTGTGGTCCGCCTCCTGGTGGTGTTCTCCGGTATAGTTTGAGTAGCCTGGGCACCTACTCCACTTGGGAAGGAGACATCTCAGATCACATTTCGCGCGGAGAAAAGTAAATGAATGACGGAGGCATGTCTGGATAACTCAGGGTTATTGAGATGTTCCTCTGAGTCGGTATTCACGCATGAGGGTTGACTTGGGGTGAAGAAAAAGCCACCATAACTTCGCAGTGGTACTTGCAAATAAAATCTGAGGCATGAGTGCTCCTCCTTTACGTTGAATCATCTTTTCTGTACTTTTCTTTGATGTTGTGTCATAGCTAGATAGCTGCATACGCAATTAAAATCTGATGCAAAAAAAACCTCCCATCTCTTGCTCTCAGCGGAGATTGAGTAAATATATCATTTGGATGGTGTGACGGGCGAGGAATTGTGTGATGAACAAATTGCTTGGGTCTGATGTGGAAGAATTTTCTGTTATTCGGAGTTGTTTTTTATTTTATTTTGGTTTTTCGTTTCTGTTTAATCAGCTGCACCTTTGGCAGCGATTCACGAGGTCGGAACGAGTTGGGCTGTAGGAAAAGTTACAGGGAACCTTGCCAGCTCCACCGGTTCAAACACACAATTTTTCGCAATCCAAAGTGACGATATTGCATTCCATTTACGACATCTTACTGTCACTTACATTTCTCAATCACCTATGCCGCCCCAGTCCTCCGCAGAGGCTGGCTTCTGGCCACCTCTCCCCACACAACACGCGACGCGCCAGGACGTCGAAATGGATCTCAACGATCCACAATACACACTACCGCCTACACCACACAACACCACACCAGACTCAGTCTGCTGCGCGAGTCAACAGCACTCTCCAAACCCGAGCCCAAACCCCACGGCCGTCAACATGACCAACTTTCTCGCCGAACAAGCGAGGGCTTTCCAGGAACGTTTTGCGGAAGCAGAGCGCATAGTCAGCGGGTACTGCAACCTGCTCGAATCGACAACAGACGAAGAGTTCCGACAAGCCATCGAACTCACCGGTTTGGCTCTTCAAAGCCGGATCACAGAAATTCTGCGGGGCAATTCAGCCACACCCACACCCAAAGCCACAGCACCAGCTCAAGCTACTAGTGGCCACATCATCAAACCTCGCCTCGAGACAGCTAAAGAATCGAGGAAGAAGACTATTGCGAGCGTCGTGCGTCCTGTACAGATCCTCGCCAGGGAAAACACGAGATTAGGAGCAGCCATACCACCGGCTGCTTCTGCGACACCAATCCCTACCCATGGGACAGAACAAACCACCAACCAGACTCCCGAGAGATCCTGGGCAGAGGTGGTGCGTAAAAAGGCTAAGCCAGCAACCACAGCTGCCACAAAAACAACCACTGGCCACACGCTCACATCGAAACCCAAGGAATCAGCAGTGATGCAGGAAAAAACTGACGAGCGCGTATTCTTACGGCTCAAACCCGATCACCCGTGGAGACGCATGTCTCCACATTTCATAAAATTATGCCTGGCTAGTAAACTATGCCTGGCTAACTTATCGATCAGACAAGTCACAGTCGTGAATTCTGGATTTGCCATACAAGCTGACAGGGAAGGAGCAAGAAGCGCGCTACTGACAGGAGCGAATACCCTAGACAGCTCTGAAATGAAGTTGGAAGCCGCGTCCAATTGGATATCAGTGTTTGCACCCAATATTCCAGACAGGCTATACACCCTCGAGGGACCAGTGCCAGTCACGCCAGAAATGGTGATCGAAGAAGCCACCCTCAAAACCGGCGTCAGACCAACATCTGCTCGCGCTTTTGCGACTAGCATGGCAAGGCCATCAACAGACTGGGTGCTACATTATGCGACAGGAAAACCAAAGCTTGGTGAACGACTATTTGAAGAAAGTGGTCGGCTGCACGAACTCCAGCGCAAGCCAAAAATTGCTCAATGCAACCGATGTTGGGGACACCACCCTACAAAGATCTGCTCGCGAGCAGAACGCTGTTCACAATGCGGCTCTGTCGAGCATAAGGCCACCGATTATAAACAGGCTATCCCGAGATGCATAAACTGCCATGGACCACACTCTGCCGTCGAGCCTAACTGCATGGCAAGGCCGACGCGGGTTGGTGGCAAAACGGTACAGCGCACAAGAGACCAGCTGGAGGTAATTCGCGAACAAGGTCAAAAGGAACGGAACGCTTCGATCAGAGAGATGGAAGCAAAGCAGAAAGCCACCGAGGCTACTGCCGAAAACGAAAATACAAACATTGCTCAATGCCCGTAAGGGACCACAACCCAACTGAGCTTCAAAAAACGGTAACAACAATATCGTTCCTCTGTGCTAACTTGGGCAGAGGAGACCCCGCTACGGACATCATCCTGCAATCCGCTTGGGATTCAGGAACCGATGTCCTACTTATCCAGGAACCCTGGACCCAACGTAAGGACGGCCTCTGGCTCACCAAGTCGCATCCCGGATTCGATAGACATTTGCCTCCCCATGCCGCTGCCAACTCTTCAAGGCCACGCTCCCTCATCTACATGCGAAAGGGGATCAACTGCCAACAGCAAGCAATCTGCGAAGCATCACCAGATCTCACCGCAGTAACGGAAGGAGTCACATTTGTCTCCGTCTACCGCGCTCCTGGAGCAGACCTTTTGCCGCTGCTATCATGGGCTCTATCTGGGCCTACAGTTGTTGGCGGAGACTTCAATGCTGTTCACGCCGACTGGCAGCCAATGGCTACTAGGCTACACGGTGACGGCCAGGTGCTCACCGAGTGGATATTCGAGCACGGTATGGACCTATCTTCCCCACCGGGCGCCCCGACACACGACTTTGAAAACACACTCGACCTAGTCTGGTCTAATACTGGTGCCCTTGCAGATATGTTGATAGAGCTTGACTCGACATCGGATCACAGAACTCTTGCGGGAGACGTTCCCCGTCCAAACTCGAAAGCCAGAGCTGTAATCAAAACTGGTCAACCGTTCCGAATGACAGACGACGCCCTCGAAGA